TATTTATACAGTTGTAGAAGTAGAATATAATGCAATGGGTCTTAATGTAAGTTTGTACTGGATCTGAAGAATGAGTTTATGTCCATGAAAACCAGTTAGCTTTAACTGAGACTCATTTCATTCCCCCCTCCCTTTTATCTAAGTTTATGGAGGAATACTTGGGCCACATCTATACTAACCGTTTCATGCGGTTTGAAGCTAATGTCAAACTGTGGTGTCTGGACAACAGACTCCCATGAAAGCATGTGAAAGTAAGTCCTTAATGTGCACTAGTGCCTTTGGCTTTTGTAATCACCATTTGGGCCTCACACTGGTTCCAGGATTTTCTGTGTCAGTGATTTTCAACCTGTGGGTCCCCAGGTGTTTTGGCCTACAACTCCCAGAAATCCCAGGCAATTTACCAGCTGTTAGAATTTCTCCGAATTGAAGGCCAAAACATCTGGGGACCCACAGGTTGAGAACCACTGTTCTATGTAATCATTTGTATAGTGAAACCAATTTTTCAATACTAGTTTGAAACTGGTTTAAGTGGTTAGTGTAGATGTGCCCTTGATATATTGGATGACAATATGTAGTACAACCTGCTATTTTATAGCATGGGCTTCAGTTTGATGGGGGAATTTTTGTATGAACATAAACTTTGTGCCAAACTCTGTGTTAGTTGCTGAACACTGTGTTATTGCACTTCTACCATTCAAACAGGCCATTTTAGGACATTTGCTTTGTAAAAATCTTGACGCCATTCAGGAAACTAACCTTTAACAGTGGAGAATGGGTTTAGGATTATTAGAATGAAAAATCAGATCAGCTTTCCCATCAATCATTCTCAACTTCACCTCTCTCTTTGCTCCAGTTAACTTAATTGCAGGGTAGGAGAAACTAGGGGTGATAACTCAACATGACACTAGGACTGAAATACCAATATTCACAGCAGTGGAAGGATGTAAATTACTAGTCAGCATTAAGTAGTAATAAAGAAAGCAAGTCACTCATTTTTGTGGTCACATATTTTCTTCCATTAGATGGCTATTTTTATTTTCATTCATTCCTATCTGACAAATCACCCCTGTACATCTTGATTAGTACTTGATAGTATGAGTATTGTTATATTTCTATTTCTTGAATGAACAGTAATTTATTTGTTCATAATAGCAAGTGATCACACAGTGAAAGTCCAGATATAATCCACAGATTACAGAATTATAGCAGTTTGACATCAATTTGGCTCCTCTAGTGGCATCCTATGTAATCCTGGGATTTGTAGTTTGTTGTGGCAACAGAGCTCTCTGACAGCGAAAGGGTAAATACAACATAAAACTACAAATCCCATAATTCCTTAGCATTTAACCATGCCAGTTAATGTTGTGTCAAACTGCTGTAATTGAGCAGTGCAGATAAAGTCCTTGTTAGAATCAGCCCATAAACCACTAATTCTAAAATTACAAAAACAACAAAAATTCAATGTTCTTAGGTCACTTGTTTGCCAAATGTTGCCACTAAATATTGTTGTACAAACTATTTTTACTTTTATTTTACCTCTTAAAATTTATTTCAGAAGAAAACATCCATACATAAAATACAATACATTCATAAAGGCTGGCTAACTTGATTGCCAACTCAGTGGTCAGGAAATATACCAATGAAGTACAGAGTGTAACCTATAGGGCGAAACATATAGAATATGATGTAATACAGAAAACTAGATGCAATAGAATGTGTGCATGGGGCATCACCATCAGAAGGGTAGTTGTGGACCCCCATATTCGCCCCTTCGTTGACACAGGGGTACCTTCCCGCCTTGTTCCATCAGGTCCCCGTGATAAATCCACAGATAGCTCCCCGGTTAGGGCCCCCCTCCTGGTTTGTACCAAGTTGAGACCCCATCTGCTCCAGTTGTCCCCACACAATCAGCCACACTTTCCCGCTCAAGAACACTCAGTTCCCTCACTGGCTCTCTGTCCACTTTAACATCGGAAGCATCCCTACCTGAAACCCAAGGGAGACTATACTCCAGCCTTACTTCTTCTGAGAGCTGACTAGCCACAGATTCCAAGCATGTCGGGGGGGGGGGGGGGAGAGGAGGGGGGCCATTCAGGTTGTGAGCATTTTGAATGATGCCCAGAAACCCCAGGGAGAAGCGCAACAGAGTTCTTGCGACCCTGGAGAAGGTAGGAAGTGGTAGGCCCCATGGCAGTTCCCCCGGTCTTAAGGTCCTGCTGATCAATGCCAGATCTGTCAATGGTAAGACCGCTGCCATTCAGGACTTGATCCTGGATGAGGGGGCAGATCTGGCTTGCATTACTGAGACCTGGTTGGATGAGCTGGGGGGAGTAAATCTCACTCAGCTATGTCCACCGGGTTTCGGAGTGCATCAGCAGGCCAGACGGGGGGGGGGGGCGGGGGGGGAGGGGTCGCAGTAGTCTTTCGGCAATCCATCGCCGTGGTCAGATGCGCTGTTCCGCAAGCACCTGGGTTTGAGTGTGTCCACCTGAAGGTGGGGAACCGTGACAGTGTGGGGTTTCTGCTGGTGTACCGCCCACCCCGCGACCCAGCAGTTTCCCTGTCTGAGCTAGCAGAGGTGGTCTCCAATTCGGCCCTGGCTTCCCAGCGCTTGGTGGTGCTGGGAGACTTTAACATCCATGCCGAGACCTCCTTG